GCACCTATGTGTCTGTAATATGGGGGGAGATGTGGGGTCTGTGTGTGTGATATGAGGGAGATGGGGGGTCTGTGTGTGATGTGGGGGAGATGGGGGGTCTGTATGTGGGATAGGGGTCTGTGTGTGTGATGTGGGGGAGATGGGGGGGTCTGTGTGTGATGTGGGGGAGATGGCGGATCTGTGTCTGTGATATGGGGGGGTCTGTGTGTGTAATATGGGGGAAATGGGGTCTGTGTGTGATGGGGGGTCTGTGTGTGATGTGGGGGGAGATGGGGGTCTGTGTGTGTGATGTAGGGGGTGTCTATGTGTTTGATGTGGGGGAGATGGGGAGTCTGTGTGTGTGATGTGGGGGGAGATGGGGGTCTGTGTGTGTGATATGAGGGAGATGGGGAGTATGTGTGTGTGATGAGGGGGAGATGGGGGGAATCTGTGTATGTGATATGGGGGGAGATGAGGGATCTGTGTGTGTGATGGGGTCTGTGTGTGATGGGGGGAGATGGGGTCTGTCTGTGTGATATGAGGGAGATGGCAAGTCTGTGTGAGTGATGTGAGGGAGATGGCGGGTCTGTGATGGGGGGGTCTGTGTGTGTGATGTGGGGGAGATGGGGTCTATCTGTGTGATATGGGGGACATGGGGGTCTGTGTGTGTGATACGGGGGGGTGATGTGGGAAAGATGGGGGTCTGTGCGTGTGATGTGGTGGGAGATGGGGGGGTCTGTCTGTGTGATATGGGGGACATGGGGGTCTGTCTGTATGATATGGGGGTCTGTGTGTGTGATATGGGGGTCTGTGTGTGATGTGGGGGGTCTGTGTGTATGATACAGGGGGTCTGTGCATGTGATGTGGGGGGGGTCTGTGTGTATGATACAGGGGGTCTGTGCGTGTGATGTGGGAAAGATGGGGGTCTGTGCGTGTTATGTGGGGGGTCTGTGTGTGTGATATGGGGGAGATCGTGGATCTTTGTGTGGTGATGAGCAGGGAGTCGAGGGGTGGGAGTGGGAAATGTGGGCGGTGTCTGTGATTTGGGCCCGGAAGGCCCAGAGCTCACGATTTCACCTGGGCCCGGCATCCCATTCCCCCAGCCCCGCTCTCCCTCTGAGTCAGGGCAAATTTCCCCCGGCGGGCCCCAAACCACGCTATGGGCCCCGTGGGTGGCTGCTCCCGCTGTGGCTTCTCCCACTTCCTGCCCCCCCACCAGTGTCACCGTCAGGACCAGGCCGCTCTCCGGCAGGGGTGATTCAACTGGAAACCCAGCGCCCTGCTGAGCCAGTCAGAGTGTGCCTGCCTGCCTGCCTGCCATGGGCGGGTGGGGGTGGAAGCAGGGCTGGGAGCAGGGGAAGAGGATCGGGGTTAGGTGGGGCATGGCAGGGCTCTGATCCCACCATCAGACCCTTCCTCACCCAGCAGGCCAGTCCTGCATCCCAGGCTCCTAACCTGAGCCTCCTTCCCTTCGCCTGGGGAGCTGAGCTGAGCCCTCCCACCCCCTTAAAGGCCCAGCTCTCCCTGTAAGGTGGGAGAGATGGGGATAGGCACAGGATCAAGACTGGGGAAGGGGGTGGATTAGTGCAGGATGGAGGCTTGCCAATGGGGAGTGGGGCAGGCATCTCTAGCAGAGCCCCAGGCAGGCACTGGGAGGTGGGGAGAGGCTGCGGCTGCACTGTAAGCTGTGGTTACAGTACAGGAAGCTGGGACGCCCCATGATGTAGGTCAGAGCCACAGCAGTGGTACACGAAGGGTTAACTCTCCCAGCCCAAGGGGGTGCTCAGTGTGAGACTGGGAGCCCCTGCTGCCCCCCCCATTCAGCCCCTACACCCTCCCAGCCAGGATCGGGGATGGGGCCTGTTGTAGACACAGTGGAGAATCCAGCAGCCTCATTTCAAACGTGTGTAGGAGACGCTGAACCTGAATCCCACACAGCCCTGCCGGTGCCGCTCAGTCCTGATCCACAGACCCTGCTAGCCCAGCCCTGGGCTCCCCACAAGCTCTGCTGTTGCCCCTCAGTCCTGATCCGCAACCCCTGCTAGCCCAGCCCTGGGCTCCCCACTCAGCTCTGCCAGTGCCCCTTAGTCTCAACCAGCAGCCTGGGAGGGGGAGCTG